TTTAGATTTCAGAGCATGTGGATTCGTCATCATTGACAAAGTTTGGGAGAGTTGGGAGGTTCCAACGGGAGTGTCGGGACTTCTCAACTTACGCTTGAAGCTAGGTCGGCTCAAGCAATCACTGAGATGGTGGAATCGCCATGTCTTTGGGGATGTATTTCATATTCTGGCGGAGGCCGAGAGGGAGGCTGCGGAATGTGAAGCGGAGTATGACAGGGACCCTTCGACGGCTACTTTGTTACGCCGACAGCGTAGTGCGGCAGCCTTGACACATGCTATTGCGCTGGAGGAGGCCTTTTGGAGGCAGAAGGCCGCGTGTAGATGGGCTGTCGATGGGGAGAGGAACTCCCAGATGTTTCACTCGATGGTCCGGGAGCGTCGTCGACGCGCTTCTATCTTTTACATGAGAGATGGTGACCGGGAGCTTACGGAGCACTCGGACATCAAGGCATCGGCAGTAGCTTACTTTGCCTCGATGTTTGGGGAGACGGATGATGCGGATACTTCGGGTATGGATGATTTGGCGGATCTGCCGCCGCAGGTTCTGCCGGAGGAGAACCGGCGGCTCTTGGCACCGCCGACGTTGGCGGAGGTTCGAAAGGTGGTATTTTCGATAGACCCAGATAGTGTGGCAGGTCCGGATGGATTCTCGGCGGCTTTATATAAGGCGTGTTGGGAAATTGTTGATCCGGATCTGTTATCGGCTATTTTGGAATTCTTTTCGGGGGTCCCGCTCCCGAAGTTCTACACGGCCACTACTATTGTTCTTATCCCTAAGAGGGATGCTCCTGAGTCGTGGGCAGATGATAGACCCATTAGTCTATGCAACGTGAGCAACAAGATCATTACAAAGTTGCTCACGGTGTGATTGGGGTCTTTATTACCGCGCCTCATTTCACCGCATCAGAGTGGGTTTGTGAAGGGGCGCGCGATTGCGGATAACATATTGATGCCATCCGAGATGGTTCATGTCTTGAACCTTCGAGGCACGTCGCATAACGTGCTTATGAAACTGGATCTCAATAAGACATATGATAGGGTATCGTGGCGGTTTCTGAGGCATGCCTTGTTGAGGTTCGGTTTTGCGGAGGAGTTTATTACATTGGTAATGCATTGCGTAGAGCACGCCTATTACTCCGTTTTGATTAACGGAGACCTTGGGGGATTTTGTAAGTCCTCCAGGGGGTCCGACAGGGAGATCCGTTGTCGCCTACTCTCTTTGTGCTTGCGGCGGACCTGTTATCGCGGGGTTTGGAGCGTCTGTACCAGGGCCATCCGGAGCTTTACTTCCGATGCAGAGGGGGGTTTCGGCTGACTCACTTAGCATACGCCGATGACATTTGCGAGTGCTTGCGGGGATCACATGAGCTCTTTGACGACCTTTTTGGCTGTTTATACGAGGATCACCGGCCAAAAGGTCAACTGTCAAAAGAGCTCGATTGTTTTCAGTCGACGATGCCCGCGGGAGGTTCGGGAGCAGCTTCAGTCAGTCACGGGCTTCAGAGAGGCTGACCTCCCGATTACCTACCTCGGTGCGCCCCTCTATGTGGGGAATCAGAGGAATCTTTTATATGAGGAGCTTTTGGGGAAGTTTCGGAGATACTTGAGCCGTTGGGATCGGGCCGTCTTATCACATGGCGGGCGATTATAGCTTATCCGGAGCACACTTTTGTCCCTGCCACTATACTTATTTCAGGTCTTGCATCCTCCACGGTCGATCATTCACGAGGTTGAGCAGATCTGTGTGCACTTCTTTTGGGGTTTGTATCATGGTCATCGTCAGCGTCATTGGATCTCGTGGGCGGATGCGGTACGGCCACAGGACGAGGGTGGTTTGGGTGTCCGGCGTCTTTCGGATATGGTTCATGCTTTCTCTACGAAGCTTTGGTGGAAGCTTCGCGAGGGCTCCTCTTTGTGGCCGCGGGCGATGCGGCACAAGTATTTCCGTGATTTCTTCCCGGGTAGTGCCCCTTGTCGGATTTACGACAGCCCGGTGTGGAAACGCTTGTGCCGCGTTAGGGAGGAGGTCCAGTCGCAGATTTATTGGACTCTTGGTCGAGGGGAGTGTTTTTTTGGGGGGATCGATGGTTCGGGGAGCAGCCCCTCTCGACCCTCCGAGAGGACAGCCGGCCGCCGCCGTCGATACTAGTTCGGGAGATGTGGACGGAGAGGTCGTGGGATGTTGGGCGGTTACGTGCCTATCTCCCGGAGTCTCTTGTTCAGCGTGTTATGGAGGTTCCTATCGATCGACAGTCTGAGGATCGGATGAGTTGGATGGCTGCGCCGTCTGGCACATTTACAACGTCTTCGGCTTGGGAGCGCTGCCGTGACGTGGGGATAAGGAGTTGGCTCTCAGGGCTATTATGGTCGCGCATTCTCACCCCGACGATGTCTGTTTTCTTATGGAGGCTATTTCGACGACGGATACCGACAGATGAGATCCTTCAGTATTATGGCATCTCGATAGTCTCATGATGTCATTGTTGTCGGACGGAGGTAGAGACTATCCCGCATCTCTTTATTGGTTCAGGGGTTGCCCGACGAGTGTGGGAGCACTTTGCAGCGTTGTTCAACCTATCTTTACCGAAGACACATACACTGCATCTACTTGTGTCTTCGTGGCGGCTCTCCTTGGCGCACCCTCAGAGTATCAGGGCGTATGTTCCGTTGTTGATTTTTTGGTTCCTTTGGACCGCTCGGAATGACGCGAAGCACAGGGGGCTTCGGGTATCCTCCGAGAGGATCATCTGGCGGATTCATACACATTTGCAGACTCTTTGGCGAGCTAGGATCCTCTTACGTCGACATTGGGCAGGTGAATTTCATATTGCCGAGGGGCTTGGACTTCGATATCCCCCTCCGACCCCTCAGCCCCCGATTATGGTGCGATGGGAGGCACCCTCTTCGGGATGGTTCAAGCTTAACACCGATGGTGCTTCGCTTGGCAATCCTGGCGCAGCGGGTGCGACTGGTATTATCTGCGATTCAGCCGGGGCAGTACTCATTGCTTTCCAGACTCCGATTCCGCGGGCGACGAACACTTTGGCGGAGCTGACAGCGATCCAGACTGGCGTAGGGATTGCGATTGAACGAGGATTGACGCCGTTATGGATCGAGACAGACTCGACGGCATGCATATCTCTGATCTCCTCCGAGACGAGCCACTGGACTCTCCAGCGCTGCCTTATGCATGTTCGACTACGACTTAGGGATTCGACTTGGAGGATATCTCATATATATCGAGAGGGGAACCGCGTAGCAGATGCCTTAGCGACTTTGGCGGTTTCCCTCCCGATGGAGACGACGCTTCTCCCCTCAGATATTCCTTCGTCACTTCGAGGCCTCCTTTGAGTGGACGCCGATGGCCTTCCATCTTTCCGTTTCATGTAGTAGGCCTCTCCCTACTCTTTGATTCTAGACTTAGCATTGATTGTTGTTACTTAAACTTGATCACTTAGTATTTGATTTATGTCTTTTTTTAGGCTAGATACTTACTATTAGCTGGTCATGTCTGTTTGCTTTACTGAAACTGTATAGCTTGTATCTAGAACTACGTATGGCTTGATCCCGTTTGGGTACGTAGGCAGCCCACCCGGGCGCAGCCACTGCTATATAGTTTTTTTCAAAAAAAAAATAAAAAAAAATTTAATGTAATACAGGGGAAATGATCGTCTCCACATGGATTGTGTGATTCACTCTTTCGTGTTCTAATGTAGTAAATAAATGGAGGGATTTCTTTTATTATCTAATGAAGTAAAATAACAAAGTAATTAAATTAACGGATAACTAGCTATTAAGGAGATGTTTGACTCAAAGGATAATGCAGTTATGACATTTGTGTTTTATCATCAATTCAATAAAGTTAATTGTTATTAGACTATCAATAAATTGGTTATAATTATCAACAAACTATGACAACCAATTTTTCCTTACAGTGTAGGTAGTTAATGTACGACCGTTAATTATCTCTAATTAAACTAATAAACCTAGGTATGCCCATAGAAAATATTGCATAATCGCATTCTAATCTAGAAAAACCAACTTCAAAACAATTACTACCTAAGAGGAGCAATTAGATTTGATTGTCTAACCCCCGAGAATGAACTATTTAACCCGATTGTCACCTATTCAAGTGCGAATACAATTACGAATATCCTACCTGAATTGACTTTAGATTATTAGACCAATTTAAATATCGGTACCAAAATATCCAATCAAACTAACAATCACAAATACTATTATCGGGATTAGACAAATATTGATAATAAAAAAGAATTTTTATAAAGAAAGTAAAAAATCTCTAATATACAAGAACCAAAATATTATCATCCCTGAAATCGGAAAAATACCTACTCCACAATCAAATAATAAAGAACAATAAAGAAAGATAAAGTCATAGTATGAAGGGAAATCTTCTTTGTCGATTTGCTCTTACGCACAATCTATGAATCTGTCAGTCTCTTGTTCTTGTGTTGCTTCTGGCCATTCTCCTGCGGTTGCCTTTTTTCTACCGTATGTCAAAAATAAATAATACGGACAAGAATTAAATAGAATCCATTCAAAATTAATCAAATATCGCATATGATAGAAATATAAAACACATCCAGTGTTCGAGACTTTCGGTGATCTTCGAGATAAGCAGAGTGAAAGGAATATTAAAAATTAATTTTATAATTAAAATATTATATCAATATATAATTTTATAACATTAAAAATTATTATTATTCAAAATTATATGTTGTGTTCTTTTATAGATTTTACTGGAGTTCTTATTATTAATATTTTTTCTTTAAAAAAAATATCATATAAAAAAATTATTATTATTATTATTTTTATATTATATTATAAATTTATTTTACATTTAAAATATTACGTCAACCTCAATTTACATCATATTAAATAACTATTTAAATTTGATTTTTTACTATTAAAATTCAAATTAAAAACTAAAAGACACGTGCAACTTTTTTTTTTTCAAAAAAGCCCCTAAAATCAGACCATTTAGGGCTTCGTGCGTCCAATTTGGTTGGAGTGTGAGAATGGCACCAAAGCAGCAGAAGCAAGTCATCGCTCCGGTGGACATCGTCGACCTCGGCAGTAGCGACGACGAAGACACTGGAGCTTTTGGAAGCAACAGTAAACCCTCGGTGGCATCGAATTTACAAACAAAGCAACCGATGGCACTTAACAATGTGGATGTGTCGGCGGCGAATCGCCGGCGACTTGATAATCATAGTTTCTGGAGAGCTGGTGCTTATGAAACTGGCAAAAATCAACCCTCTCGAGTTCAAGGTTTGCGTTTGTTTTGTTCCTTTCATTCCTAGTTATTTCTCCGTCATCTTTGCGTTTTTGTACCTAGTTTTTTTTTTTTTTTTTGAATTTTTTAGTTTTTGTGTAGCTTTAGGTGAGCTAGAGCATGCACGTGTTCACCCGAAGTTTCTGCATTCAAACGCTACCTCTCACAAGTGGGCCTTTGGAGGTACTCTCTCTTGGCATGGGGTTTCTTGAATTTGGAATTATCATTTGTAATTGATAGCTTGTACTCATTAATGGTACTGAAAATTGAAAATTTCAACAGAAAAACCAATATACATTAACGCATAATCTCTTAGGATGTTTGAACTTATTGAGTTTTTGTATTTGACATCCACACATTACACAATTATCCAAAGATAACTTTCATTGGCAATTATATGACATTCGAAAGCATGTGAACATTTCATTGTGGTATACAAATTGTCAAAAAATGACTTTATGATGCTGTGAGATTTAAACCTAGCCAACTGCTGTTGATATGCCCTTCTAGTTACATTCTATGCCACAAATCTTTTTTTTTCTATGCCACAATCTTCTTCTGTGGGTGATGTATATGCTGCATTTTTTGAAAAGATAATTCCATTGCAGCTATTGCTGAGCTCTTGGACAATGCAGTGGATGAGGTAATCATTTACTATTTACTCCTGGTCCAGAATTTTGCGTTGTAAGTCTTTCCCTAATTGTGCAGAAAAAAGAAGTTTCCTTTTGTTGAATTCCCCTGACCTCATTAGGAGAAAATATCATAATGAGCAATCTCTAATTGAATGCTGGTGAATAGTTGCAGGAGCAATTCCTTGTAGAAAATTGATTTCATTGTATATTATTTTATTCATTTTTAATGGGATTTGCAGAAATGGATTGATATGTACATGAAGCTCTCAAGCTTGACCAATGTTCTAATGCTCATGAGTCATGCTATAAAAATGTGCTAGTATATGTTATAAAAAAAATAAATATAAAATGTGCTAGTATGGCTTTTGTGGCTACTAGGGTATCCCCTTGCTTTGGTATAGTTGTAACTGACAATTTAGCCATATAAAACCAGTTATAAGAGTATTATTATTTTCATTTGGAATGTGTATTTCATTCTATAAAAGCATTGATTATTTCTTGTATCGAATTCAGATAGGCAATGGTGCAACCTTTGTGAATGTTGACAGGATTTATAACTCAAAAGACAATTCTCCTGCCTTAATTTTCCTAGGTGCAGTGTGATTCAAACTTAATATCTTAAAGCATTTATGATATGGGATCTGCAGTTTGGGTTGGTATATTAGTTAACCGAACTTTGTGAAAAACCTGCTCTTGCAGATGATGGCGGTGGAATGGACCCAGATGGTATGCGGAAGTGCATGGGCTTGGGATATTCCTCAAAGACATCAAACAAAACTATTGGACAATGTGATTAACCTTTTCTGCTAAGCTGTATAAACTACTACTAACTTATTTTGTGTTATATTGCTGCTGATGCATATATTAGTTGCCATTTTGCGGAGGCCACATATATTTCATTGTGTTTTGCCCGTCCCATTTATACTGCATTTCAAATTTTATTGGAACCCATTCATGGCTCTTACAAGGCACATTATAAAGTTGTTAATCAAACATTAATGAACTTAGCTTGATGCATGATGGGATGGATTCAAGTCCAATTTTCTGTAGTAAATATAAGATCCAACATCTACATTCGGGATTTCTCTGTCAATTTTGTTCTATGCAGAGTAGCTGACATATTTGAGTTATGCCTGATGTATTTGTTCTTCATTATCATAAAATCAATGTTGTCTTTGCAAATTGCCTCTAAGAAAAGTTAGCTTTGCATTTACTAGAGTTATAACATCAACATCTGAATGTACAAGTTGATCGCACTTTGGTACACTCTCCTTGCTAATTATGCTTCTGGAGGTTGTCTGAATTCTGACACCATATCTTCTTTCCAGATGGTAATGGATTTAAAACAAGCACCATGCGATTGGGAGCTGATGTGATAGTTTTTAGTCGTTCAACTCGATCAGGGTATGCTCTTTTCTATCTATTACCTTTGAGTTGTTTCACCTTGATAGTTTTGAGCTTTAGCTATTGGCATACGTCAGTGATCCTTTATTTTTTCTCATTAATAGTTCACTTGGTATTTTGTTTGCATGCCTAGATGAAGTTTATTAGTTACTGTTATTGCGTGGTAAAGATCTTTATATCATTAAACTCAGGTGAGGGGTGTAATGGAATGATGGTTTGTACGTAAGGGTGTGCATGTGTAATATATACAAGAAGCTAGGAAGATATGTAATTGTTCACTTTGACCTATTCTTGGAGTTCTTTTTGCATCATGTTAGGATGTGTTCATTATACATTTTGCTATATGTATATGTCCTATATGGCTTTTGCGGCATGTCTCTGTTTTTACCTGTCTGCAAATACCTGCAGTCAAACATCCCAAAGTGTTGGTCTCTTGTCCTACACATTTTTGCGAAGAACAGGACAAGATGATGTTATTGTTCCAATGGTAGGCTCTTGATCTTCAACAATGAAGTTTTTTGGAGTTAGTATCTGAAGTGTTTGACATCAGGAAGTTTTCACTGCAACTTTTTTCTGAATAACTTCTTTGTTTGTATGTATTTTGTATGATATTGCAGATTGATTTTAATATCTCAGAGCACAGGGCAGAGCCTATTATCTATACATCTATGGCTGATTGGTCAAGTAACTTGAAAACCATCCTCGAATGGTCCCCCTTCGTGTCAAAAGATGAGATTATGCGACAGGTTTGATTTAAATGAGATGAGGCATCTCCAGTGTTCTGACATATTATGTTCTAAATTGATATATCACATAAGTCTAATATTATGTTCTGAATTGATATATCACACAGGTCTAATATTATGTTCTGAATCGATATATCACATAAGTCTAATATAATGTTCTAACATACTTGTATCTGCATTACATTATCTTTCTATTATCAATATCCAGTGCTTTTTGTTCCAAATCATGGGTGACACATAGGCTCCGTTTACTTTTTTCTTGTTTTCCAGTGCTTGTTCCCAAAATCAAAATACGGTCAGTCGAACACTAAATAAACAAATTGTCTTTCTTAATACGTGTGTTCATAGTATTCTACTAATTTTCCTTTCACTGATTTTGCTAGCTAGGGTTCTCAAATTGAATATTATTTTATAAGCTCAAATGATAGGGTTTGGTTGTGTTTTTCATTACACTTTTTTCACTATTCATATACAATATATATATTTTTCTTTAAAAAATATCACATCATATATTTATTTTATATTTTATATATTGCATTAAAAAATATTTTTCATTTAACATCACATGAAACAATCATTTCAAATTAAAATTTTACTATTCCCAAAACACAATTAAACAAATTCTTTTGTTTCTTTAGGTTTGGATTGCAAAGATTTGATTTGAGTTTTGTATTTAAAAAATGTTTGATGTGATATTTTGTGAAAGGAAAATGTGTATTTTTTAGGAAAACGCAGAGTTTAAATAGTAAAGCTTGGGAAAGTAAATCAGTATTAAAAGTGAGTGCTGGTGTCTTTAATGCTTAATAATTGTCCTATAAATCAGTATTTTTACTGTATGAATATTTGCTCTGTACTTTGTTATGGTGCCCACCACAGTGCCATACACCATGGCCCCAGGGAGCCTTTGCCCTTCATTATTGACTATGAATGTTGCACTATGCCTAGATGATATGAACCTTGATCTAACAAAACAACTATGATGGGTGCTTGTGCTGCCAGTGTGTGCTTTGATTTATGTTCTATTTATTTATTTATTTATTTCATTCTTTGATGTCTCAGTGGTGTAACTAATTTTTCCTTTCATTTTTCACAGTTTGACAACATGGGATCACATGGAACAAAAATTATTATATATAACTTGTGGATGAATGATGAAGGTGTTTATGAGTTGAATTTTGATGATGACAATGAGGTATATCGAATTTTCTTTCTCAATTATGCGAAATTCTTAGTATGCTATGCCACTAGATTATGTCATTACATTTCCGCATCTGCTTAATTGGAGACTTGGATTCAGTTTTGAACAAGCATAGTATCCTTTCGCTTTAAGAACCCTCTCCAAATGTGACTGGAAAATTTTTGCTGTTACGAATTCAGGATATAAGGCTAAGAGACGAAGTTAATCTACCAACCACGGCCAAAAAACCTTCCAGGAAAGATCTTGAACTTCAATCTCATTTGTCCAACTCCATTCGCTACTCGCTAAGGGTAAGTGTTCTGCTTAACTAGCACCCTCTGAATGTGTGCACTAGAAGATAGAGTTAAATGGTAATATTTTCCTCACAAGACAGGATAATGATGAATTGAAAGCCAGTTTTGGTAGTCACAATTTATATTGCCATTCTGATAGTTCTCTATTACCTTTTCCATAATATTCTTGTAGAGATAGTGTGTATTCACTTGGTTTCTGATTTAACAGAGATCTTTTTTTTTTTTTTTTTTTTTTTTTTTTTTTTTTTTTCTTATGGATGTAACATGGTCTGGTTTTTCTCAGGCATATGCATCAATATTGTACCTTAGAAAATTTACGAACTTCAAAATAATATTACGGGGGAAGCCTGTTGAGCAGTACAGTATTAAGGAGGACTTGAGACACTCCAAGAGAGTTATCTATACTCCCCATGTTGGGCCATCTTCGAGAGAGGTAAATCTAAAATATTTTGTATCAGAAACAGTTGTAGTATGTATGATATATGATGCCAGAGTCTGTTCTGCGATTTGAGCTCTGGAAAATTGGAGGAGAATTATGATGTGATTTAAATCAGTTGCATTTTTCCAGAAAACATTATGTTTTGACTAAGTGAGATAAATTTAGAAGACATGTAATTATTCAAATGTTGATTAATTTATTTCAAAAAGTTCTTGAAAGTTTGATTAATGTTCTGAAAGAATTATTGGAGTCATTTTAAGTTGAAACTTGAAAATGCTTTAATAGTTATTTTTTCATGAATGATAGGCCGCTGTGGAGACAACCATTGGCTTCATTAAAGAAGCTCCTTATCTTGGAGTATGTGGTTTCAATGTATACCATAAAAATCGTCTCATCAGGGTATGCTTGTTTACCAATATTGATCATGTATTACTTGTGTTTAAACTATGGAAAACGATACGGTATATTATTTATATGTTTCTATTTAATACTGTGGTACATCTTTACACAGTTAATGCCTAAGATGGTAGAATTCCAGATAACTAAGGATCTGTTTATATATATTTTGGAAGTGTTTTGGAGTTTTGTGTTGGTTTTAAAATAGTAAAAAGTAAAATAGAAAATAAGTGTTTGATGTGATGTAAATTGGTATTAAGCAACTCATGTACCACGACCTAATAATATGGCTTCATGATCCAATGAGATAACAAACATAAAGCATGAAAACTATTCCCGAGATTAATGTGGGTATGTAGTGGATTTAAGTTTTTACTTCATGACAGCCATATTGGAAAATCATTCCAGATGGTTCTAACAGAGGTCAAGGCGTAGTAGGTATGCCTACTGCCTCAACTTTAGCTGCCCATCCTCTCTTTCTCCTTCCTGTGATCTAAAATTAAGCTGTGATATTCAGGAGTTCTTGAGGCAAATTTTATCGAGCCAGCACATGACAAACAGGATTTTGAGAGATCAGCTTTATATATAAAGTTGGAGGCAAAGTTGAAACAAATCGTTGGAGACTACTGGTATCCCCTTATGCTTATTTTATACTTCTTTTGGCTGTCTATGCTTATATTTTATTTGGTTCTCCTCCTGTTTTATAGCAGACAGGAAATGCCTAGTATTTCGCAACTAGTAACATCAGGCATATTTGTTCATCCATGATGAATTTTGTATGGCTTAATTCTATTATGAACTTTTGTACTGGATTTGGGGGACTTTGTGAAACATCTGTACTAAATTACGCACTAAAAGCCTTGAGAATCTTGCATGCTTTGATGTAAAAATTCATTCACTGAGTTAATATTTTATGCATCATCCATATATCATTTAGATTCTTTTATTTGTGGTTAAGGGATCCTTGTCTTCTTTAGTCCTCATGTGATCGAGTTGTTGAAGATTTCACTTGGTATCTTATAAATCTTATGCTTTAATATCCAGGAAAGCTCACAGCCACTTGCTACACCAAGCCGAAGGTGTGCGGAAGAATGATGTCCAACTTAAGCTTGATTCTAGTAACAACTTGACAACGGTAAGCAATTTGTATTTCTTTTTTTGGCTGAGAATCACCTAGTTTAAGGACATGATAGGATCAAGTATATGCAGCAACGTTCTCTAATTGAAGTCGTGTAGTCACTATTACTCGAGCTCGGAGTAAAAGGGATTGTTCTGTTGTTTACCACATTTATAATGTATTGATTACAGAATTCTTCTATTCAAGAAAATCTGGATGCCGCATCACTCGATCAGATATGTGAAGAGAATGTCCAACTGTTCATGAGGTATCTCATCGAAAAAATATATAGATGCTTTACATGCTATTCAAAATCTCATCATACCTGACCGGTAATAAGAGTCTCTTTGTTTAGTGTTTTATAGTTTAGGCGTTTTTGTTGTGGGTTATTAGGAATCGTGAAAGTATTGCTAGGAATGATGTGTTGTTTGATTTTGTTGACTTTTGTTATGTTCATATACTGTATCTTTTGGTAATATTTTTGGGGTATCGTATACATTAAATACAAGTGAACATTAACCGTGGGATACACAGCATCATAGACTTGCTGGTGTGGATAGTTTGGATGGGACTATCCCAGATGTTCTTATTTGCAACGGCAAGATTATAATTTCCAATTATGGATACAGTAGTCTGAACCGGATCTTCTATTTTTCAGTCAAGTAGTTAGGGACCTGAATGGCGCATAATATTGACAGACAAACACGAGTAGTTTCTATTCCATGCCAACAGTTGTTAGTCGATCATTACATTACGCCTATCTCATAGCTGGTTTTGTAATAAATTTGAAACAGGTGCGAGCAGTACAAGGAGAAGCATGCTGGATTGAAACAGAAGGTACTGAATGTAAACAATTCAATGGATAACAGCCATTGTGTTTGATATATATCGATATATTTTGCAGATTGAACAACTAGAGAAGGATTTGGAGGAAACCAGAAGTAAGTGTGCCAAACTCTCCTCCCACTTGGATCTGCAGAAAAAGCAAACAGTATAATTCAAAGGCAGCAGCTGCGCGCCCATGCACAAAAGTAGGAATTACAACAGCATGAGAATTTTTGTAACCTTAAATATTTTTTAGTTAAAACAGGATTTAAATTCAAGTATCTCATTTCTACATTGTCCAAAAGGGCACATTATTACTTTTCTGTCATTGAAATTATGTTTTTTTTTTTTTTTTTTGGTTGTCATAAATTTTTTTTTTTTCCAGTTTATATTTAGTAAAAAAAATACCGTTTTTCTATTTTCTTTACTCTTTTTGTTAAAAAAAAAAAACAAAATTCATGTTCGTAATTTACATGATGGGTAGTATATTTTTATAAATATAATATTAATATTTAAAAAAATAAGTATTAATGATATAAAAATTGTTAATCGTGCATTTTATAATATTCATAATTAAAATTGTTATACTACGTAATTATATTTTTATAAAAATAGAAATAATATTAATAGTAATAAAAAAAATTAAATCTTAATACTATAGAAAAATATTACTATTAGTATATAAGTTTTTTGATATATTGATTTGAATATTAATTATTATATTAAATACGTGTATAAATCAAAGTGAAAATTATAAAAATACTCTTTTAGTCTTTTATAATACAAATATATAATAATATTTTTAGAGTAAATTATACAAATATGAAAAAAAAAAAAAAAAAAAAACCATGCTCTTTATATGAAACAAAGGTAGTAATATAATTAAATTTTATATTTCATACATTTATGATTTATACGAAATTTAATAAATACTATATTTTAATAATAATTGATATAAATATTACTATAAAAAACAAACAATGCTCTTTATATAATGTTTTTTTTTTAATAATGATATTTGTTCTATATATATAGTAAATCCATATTAATTAAAAAAAAATTAATATACTTATCAAATATAGACGGAAAATGTAAAAAAAAAAAACCTATTTTAGTTCAAAATACATTTGTTTTGTTTTAATGTTGATATTATACTTATATATTTTTTTATTGTTTGTCCAAATATATTTAAAATGAACTATCATTTATTACTACTTATTTCTATTCCAACAGTTTGTATTATATAATTTTATTTTTTTATTACCGAATGAATATACTTTATTAAATTTATAATTTTTTATGGAACAATAAAATCAAACTTGTATTTACATTTCTAATTTCTTAACTAGCAACAAAATATACATGTAAATATTGAAAATATTATAAATATTATATTAGAATAACAAATAAAATATTAATTATTCATATTAATCATTATTTTGTATATATATATATATTAATATTGTATATATAGTGTAATATGTTGGATTAAAAATGGGTTAAATATAATTATTTGGGCTATCAGATTAAGCGTTAACAGCAGAAACCCTAGCGGTTTTATCAAGAGAGGCTGCGCCATAAATTTGAAGAACACAAAACCCTCTATTGTTTGCATATCTGAATCCCACAATGCTAATGGAATAAGGTTAGATTTAATTACTTTATTTTTATCTCAATTATTACAATACTGTAGATCCTGACTTAGAGTTAAATTCTGATAAGTTCCAATTGGTATTAGAGCCTTATGTTGAATTATTAAGATATATTATTAGATTAAATAATAATTAATTGGATCGATTTTTTGAATCCACATTAGAACGATACAGATTATGATATTATTTTATTTTAATAAGTTCAATTGGGTGCACCAATTTTTGGAATCAGGCATGAATCTGTGTACGTGTTTAGTTATTTGTATGTCTGCACTGCCTTTGGTGTTATTAGATATATAAATATATGATTTAATGTTTAATTAAAGTGAGCTCTCCTTTTAATTGATCTGCTGTGAATCCTTGCACGGATAGATCAATCATGTGGTGTTTGTGAAATCACACAGATTCTGTCTGCACTTGTTTAGACCTATGTTGTCCAGTCCTTCCATTGATTTAAGAAGTGCTGCTTGTTCATACATTTATTCATTTACTTATTTATTTATTGGAATAATATTTGGGATCACATTCCAACTAAAAACATGATTATGTGTTTCATAGTTGATGGATTTATTCATTAAATTATTAAATATATGCTATTAGTATGTACATATGTTACTGTGTACTTCTGCCGTCCATTGTGCAATGCTCCATTTATTAATATTGCATGTCAAACTCAATTCAATTAGTCAACTGCAGCTTAACTATAAGCTCATGCATTGAATATTGATATGCAATGCAATCACGAGTATATATATATTTGTAATTGGAAGATAATTGCATCTGTGCAAATCTGGTTGTTTATATATTTATTCGATCATTTATTCATGGGTCGAGATTCACGTTTATTTGATATATATGCATTTAATTTGATGATTGCATAATTTATTAATTAATCATGTGTTTTTGACATTATATATTTGTTCAAGTTCATCTAAAATTATTTGGTGCATTGATTTATAATCTGTTTGGGTGGCATACTTTGTATATAATTCCGTTGTATTTGGTACTTTCTGAACTAGATTATTTTAATAAGTTAATAAATTATTTGCTACCGTTAAAGTTTTTATTTGTATCGGATCAGTTTTATTTTTTAAGGTGAATTTAATTAGCAATAAATAATATAATATATTTCATGAATTAGTTAAAATAGTTATATTGCCAAAGCAGCCTCTGCTGTGTAAATCAGTTTATTCCTGATTGACCCAAATGCAACTCAGCAATTAAATTAAATAGTTACATACATGTTTAGTGACATTGAATGTGGTGATAATAATTTAATTATTTGTGTGTGAATAATAGATATGTCCAAAGACAAAATATTATTTGATACACTACTGTATTGTTAACATTCGATTATCAAAACAAGTTTATCACTGACGAGTCAGTAATTTTTCCAAAGACAATTGCTGATGTTGCTCGATAACTTGTGATAAGATTGCTAATTTACTTTATAAATTCACATACGGGGCATTCAATAGCTTATAGACATGTACATTCAGTTACTTATACATATTCTTTATTTTTATGAAATCAGACTCGTATACATTGAACGTAGTTCTGATTCTAATTTGGTTTAAGGAAATTATAATTAATTAATAATGCATGCTGCGTTTTTACGGTGAAATTCAAGTATTTTACGTTGTCAAAGTAACCTCTCTTATATGAGATTTTTTTCTTGATAACGTAAGTGTTTGTGTATTTTAATTCATGTGATTATTCTTCGGCCCAAAGACAGTCGATAATTGACAGAATGAAATATACATATGTGATAGTATTTATGAGATGATTATATGGATTTAACTTATGTGAATAGTGAATCAGTCCAAAGATTAGTTGTTGTTTGACATTACTTATTGTCTGTATATGATTATTGCAACAAGATGATTGCTAGCAATCAATGTTATTGATCCGAAAATTGATCATTGATGTTGCACTTAATGTCTTGGGATGAGAATGCATTATTCTTGAATTTCATTATGTTGCATAAATATTTATATATATTTTTCAGTTCCAATATGGTATTGGAACAAATTTAAGCACCAAAGATAATTAATATTGATTCATTTAGGAATATTGACTTGGTATTAAGAGTAGACCAACTTACTCATACGGCGAAAACACTGCATATGAAAAACAGTTATTTCAGAAGTGGGATAGGTCCAACGCCTAAGTCTAATGATCATTAAGAAAAACACTCCATAAATTTTTCGGAGTATGATAGGGGTTCATTGTCGAAATTAAGAAACGCTTTATCAAAAGCGATAAGGAGGAAATGAGTATTCTTCTTAAGAGTCTCGTTACCATGAGGTATAATGACAAAGGAAACATAAGGGAGTACATCATGAACATGTCTTATATTGTTACTAAATTGAGGGCACTTAAGTTAGATCTTTCGGAGGACATATTTGTCCTATTGGTCTTGCTCTTGAAATTAATTTAATTTCAGTACATAGACACACTTGGGGGTGGATTTTAGTGTAACAACTCACATTAGTGTGTCTATGCAAGATTATTTCTATTGCCGAAATCAATTGATGTTGAAAGATACATCTATATGGGTGACGACAAGAAAGTTCAAGTTGAAGTCATTGGAAATTTTAGATTATTATTAGGTACGAGTTATTATTTGGATTTGGATAAGACATTTTTTGGTAACATCTTTAGTCGAAATTTAATTTCGATTTCTATTTTGAACAAGTTCAGTTATTATTGTTCATTCGGATATAAAGTTTTGTCTCTTCTATAATTCAAAATTCGTTAGAACTAGTACCTTATTTAATAATAATAATCATCATTTGCTTAATTGTATGAATTCATATTATGAATTAGTTATTGAACATATTCATGTAGCTTCCATGATTGCGAATCCGCTTAATTGCTAAAGGGTTTTCCATATAAGGTCTAAAGTGAGCATGTTGCTCGTATGAGAGTGAAGCCATATATGATATTTTGGCTTAGCGAGAGCTAATTAGTAATGTTCAAATACTATTGAAGTTACTTTATTTTATACTGCAATATTAAATATACACTGTTCAATATTCAGTTTCAATTCAGTGTTCAGTTGTTCTGTTGTTCTGAATTAAAGTTAAGGTGGATCAGTTAGAAATAGACATGTTAAGATCACGTTACATGAGCTTTCCATGCTGTACACCCGCACTTGATCGAATCTTAGGTTATATTAGTGTTGTGACCACTGATTGGTCTCATTACGATAAATGCAGTGATGACCGCTTTGATCCGCACTGATGTGACTTATAAATAAGATTAGTAATATACATTAAAGAATCTGATAGCAAAATTTCATGAGCTCATAAGGTTTATCAGTGTACATTTACCTAAGTGAGAGATTGTTGGATTAAAAATTCAATTGTGGGTTAAATGTAACTATTTGAGCTATCAATCATATAAGCCTATATTAAGTGATTTATTAATTTATTGGGCTTAGATATATTTAGTAAGTGCGGACCTCCTATGTGTAGAAACCCGGTAAATTTATTAATTGGGTGATAAAGCCAATTAATAATAAGGGGATATAAATAGGGTTGTGATATCAGGTCTAGACGTATTACCCATTACGTTCCATATCTCATCGTAGGAGTAACGGCAGAAACCCTAGCGGTTTTCTCAGGAGGGGTTGCGCCATAGGCTTCAAGAACAAAAAAACCCTCAATTGTTT